TTGTAAGTCTGTTACAACACAAGCTTTACTACTTTTAGTTGCCAACAAAGTATATTTCTTTTATTCACTATGATAATCAATTGAACAGTTTGCATAATCAATTATCGTGTCGCTAAGGTTTTTATATGATCAATGTTTGATTATAATGGATGTTCGGCACATCACTACTGGGAGAGTGTGGAATCAACCAACCACACCAACACATGAGGAAAGGGAAGCATAAGGACAAAAGAGAAAATAAATGTGCCCAGAAACAAGGATAAAATCTAAAATTTTGGTTCCTTCACTGAACATTGTGGATTACTGTTTCAATTTGTAAAAAGAGTAAAACAATGGTATTTCACATGTGCTTATGATTACAGATCAAAATTTAAAGAAAATCAACCTACATTGTAGGTTGAAAAATTTTAACCTGAATTTAATTCTGACCTGTAACAGTAAACACTTTATGACTGGTCCTGAGGGAAACAGTTAGGACGATTTGTTATATAGCTGGAAATTTTGAAGCTGGAAATTCCTTAAACCTCACTGTAATGGCAGTTGTTGGTCAACATTCGCGGGTAACAGTACACTGTACTGTTACCCTCTGATGTCATAGATTTTGCAATGTTGCCCACTCTGAGATTTTGGTGGGAAACAGTGTCATTGTTAGATGTTATGTGACCTCCAAGTAACCAGAGAGCACATACTGTTGGGAAAAAAATTCCAGCTATTATTATAACAATATTACAATTAAAAGAAAGGAACCTGTTTCATCACAGCCACAGTGAATGATTGGTTTTCCTCCAGAATCAGGATTTAACATTTGCAATGTAAAAGTCACATCTTCAAGAGCTGGAACACTGGAGTCGCAAGTAACAGGGTCAGCATACGACACGTGCCACACCTTGGGGTCGTCCCAAGGTGCAAATTTGTTTTCTCCAGATATTGTACTCAACCCAACTAAAAAACACAAACAGAAAGATGCACCATTTAGCTGAGCACACTTTGAAATGCTAACAAACACACAAATAACTCTCTCTAAAACGGACATTTTTGGGACCGACACTAAAGAAAGGCAGAGGTTAACTCTAGGTGTCTGTTTCACCAAGGTATCCATCCTTTTTATCAATAATACAGTCATGAATTGAAGAGTCTGTGGGCTAAGTCCTGTGATGTGACCGTTTAAATGAAACGTCTTTCAGTACCAGTGCATTGACTAAAAACTTACATGAATATTGTGCCTGGTCAAGTTTGGTCTGACACTGTGAAGTTTGTTCAACTTGGGGCCATTTGTCACCAAGGTAGAAATAGAGTTTCCCAGTTGCTGT